ACAGAGCTAAGAAGAACAATTATAAATAACTATAATTCAGACTGCTACCGCGTTTGTTACAATTACTTGAAATTATAATCACGCTATTATTAAATCTAATATAAAATAGAAATTAATGAAATATGGTGTTCATGCAGCGTTTTAAAAACCTTGAATTTCCCATGAATCATTGTTCTTTTCCAGCGTTTCCCAGGCCGCCATATTTCTTTCCTTAAGGAAGGTAGGTAAAAATTAAAATTTCAACTGACGTGAACCGTGAATGAGGCATACTAATGTTTAATAACTCGTAATTTTTAAAATAGTTGCACGTACTTTAATCCATAAATTCCCGCTATCTAGCCATAAGGTTTCGTGGAAGGTTTCATTTCGAAGGTTTCATGGAACAACATTGGCTCCGAGGCGCGTAGTTTTCGCAAATTATTGTTGCTTACCACAACATTAATTGTTTTCTTGCAGATATGAGATTTTGATCTGCGTAAAACAGACGCGTCAGGACAACTTTACGTGGAAGCTCTCAGAAAGCCAAAATAATTATGGCAAGACTTCGGCTATTGACAAAAATTGTCTTTTGGTTAGACGCCCAACACAATCGCGTTATGAAAACGTAAAAAGTTCTGCCTCTTATTTCGCGTTTTTAGGGCAGATTCCTTGAGGCCCTGAGCATACCAGTTTGCTTTTGTTTTTACGCTTTAAAAAATTGGCGACGTTTTGAAATATTTATTTTGGCATCCTCAGGGCTACTTCATTTTGAAGCCCTGAGGATGCCAAGATAAATGTGGAAAAACGTCGGCAACTTAAGAAAGCGACTATTGTATCCACGATGATCAAAATTCCATTATGAGAACGTTAGAAGAAAAGCCTGGCTTATGAAATACCGGCGTTTCGTCGTCCAAATTTGGGCATCTTCAGGACGACTTCACGTTGAAGATGTGAGAATGTCAAAGTAAATATGGCCAAAAGTCGGGAATTTTGAAAAACCGACTGTTGCTTCTATGCCGCTAAAAATCCTGTTACTGAAACGTGATTACAAAGGCCCGATTTTTATGTTCCGACGTTTTTCCATGTTTATTTAGGGCGGCAAGAGAACGATTCCCTGAGGATGGCAACATAAATATGGAGAAATGTAGAAATACAAAATCAGGCTTTTGTTTTTATGTTACGAAGCTGTAGTCGGTTTTTTTGAAATTTCCGACGTTTCGCCATTTTCAGAGCAACTTCACGGTTGGGTTCTGATGATGCCAAATAAATATGACAAAACGTCGGCAGGTTCAAATGCCCAACAATAAAAACAAATAGCAACGTTGTCATTATTTTCGATAACTTCCAACTCATTTTTCTTTGAGTTTTGAGCACTGGATGCACTTAAATCTATGGAGCAAACACGACTGCTGCTGTGGCAATAAAGCATATTTTGACGTATTTTGCTAGATTAATCTGTGAAGACTTTTCAAACCTTTTATATTGCATTAGAATGAAAAAATGTAGAAAATCTGGCAGTTGATTTCAAAGAATTATAGGTAGATAGGTACTTAATTCGAAATAATCACCACTTCACACGCGGCTGTTTCAATGGAAAAAAAATGATAAAACCCAAGTCCAGATTGAACACATTCATCCTTTGTATTAGATGACCAGTTGGTAATTCGTAAAATTCCAATCGAACTATTTCGTCGACAGTGAGTCGTCCGTTTGCGCTTAAAGCTCGAATTCGCCGACATTTTGGAGACAATAATAGTTGCCGGTTAAAAATGGTGATGTGTCGAATTTATCAATAATATTATTGGTGACTTTCAAGGTTAAGTGAACAGGAAATGCTGGGTGCCCACCTATTGTTTAAATCAGCGAAATAAATTTGCTTTTATTTTGTTTTCGCGTGCTTAGAGGTCAGATTAGGACACGAATAACCGTTCTGCCGCTTTTGAAGGGTGCTGATATTGGCAACTTTCATTAGTTTTACGTGAATGCAAAAGAATGTTTTGCACAATAATCAGAAACGCACAAATCGCACTTTAAACTAGTGCAATTAACCGAAAATCCCACATTTTAGCTTACAATGTTCACACAAGGAAAATGTACCAGCTCGATGCAATTTGCTTGATTTATCATCCAATTCGGTGCAATTCCTCATAGGTGAACGCTTTATAATCCAATCTACAAACACCAAAAAATGCCTAATGCAATATTTGCTTGTGCCTCTAGAAGGTAAACCAAATGAGTCAGTCTACAGCATTATCTACAGTTGCTTTGTTTGGAAGATTCCAATTATTATTTTTCACCAGGCCAATTACTTATCAAGGTAAACGTCATTTGAATGAGCCATGTAAATTGTTCGGGCGATTAACTGGGAGGGATTAGAATTAAGCCGATTTGCATTGCAGAAATAATTAGGAAAAGTTGGCGGCTTGTTGTAGGTACTACTTGTACTAGTTTTTTCTGAATCATAATTTTCAGCTATTGTTTAAATATTAAGAGGGACAATGAAGCTGTGAGGCATCACATTGATGGAAATTGTGCCTGTCTATTTGTTAAAGTATACCCCCACTAAAAGTTCCCAATAAAAATGTTTTCATTAAATTAAGATAATTTAATTTCAGTGGAATCCTGGTTGCGCTTTTGGCTAAACCTTCCTATTCCTGCACTTTATATCCTCAATTAATACATGCAAAAGGTTTAAACTGGAAATTGCGGCTGCAAACCTTATACCTACTATACAAACCTATCCGACATAATTGGCTGCAAAATAGAACTGATTATCACTTCAAAATAATGGTTAAAGTAGGTACCCACTGTTTTAATAAATAATTTTTATTATGAAATTAGTGTCCGTAATTTTGACTTCGCATTTCCTTATAGGGGCTGTAACATTGGCTCCATTTTTCCTTTATATAAAAGCGTTTTTTGATCTTATCCGACTCGAAGGACCGAAATCTTACTTTGTCACCCTTGGGTATTATTATTTTGGAACTATGCAATAACAATCTTGTGAAGTCATTTAACTAATTTTCTATAAGAACTAAATACTATTCGAATTACGACTCTGATCTACAGAGTGTCCCAGATATACTGAAGTAAGTGTATCGCTTACGCGCATGTGTCTTAAAAGTTACAGGTGCAATTCATTTGAGTTGTTGAGTAATTCTCAATTGCTGGGTTCAATATTTTTATCAAATAATTAGAATGTAGAATTAGCGAAAACCATTAAATTATGCAAGCTCATCATATTTTCGAATTTTTGCCTAAATCGTCCAACCTCACCCTTGTGGCAAGATGTAGCACTTTTGAATCTTTGCAATGCTTATAAGGACGGTAGCAAAAATAGACTTTATTTCTCTTTCAAATAAAAGCGGTTTTTGCTCTTGTCCGGCTCGAAGGACCGACAATTTAATTTTATTAATAGATACATTAGGGACTATACAATATTGATGTTTGCTAATTCACCACATCAGATATTTTCTATTAGAGCATGTAAAAATTATTGAAATTACTGATCTCAGTTACAGGGTGTCCCAGACAAACTCCAGGAAACCGATTGCCCTGAGCGGGTGTCTGTGTCTTACAATATACAGGTTGGTACGGTTTGTTTTGAGTTGTTGATGAGTGATTGTGAGTTGCTAATATTTTGTAATTAGATCCAAGTTGAATTTTTGACTAAATTTACAAATATCTCATATATACATATATCGACAAGCAGCCTTGTCGATAGGCTTACAATGGAAACTGCGGTTTGCAGGGTGAAACTATTTGCAATAAATGACCTCAAGATAGAGAAAATAGAGTTCTACAATAAAACCATGACGAAATTATTGTTTAAATAAATCGAAAAATAATTAAAGAAATCCACATTACGAGTTTAGTTTGCACACTTTTGGGTCCGATCATGCGCAGTTCTTTATAGGCGCAACAACAAAGCAAAAGTTGGCTTTCTCTTCTCCTAAAAAGTGCTTTTTGCTCTTAGCCGGTTCGAAGTCTTTCATTTCAAGGGCTTTAGATGTTTGGTTTCTAGTAGAATTGTGAAAGTTAATGCCATGACTATTCCCATATACAGGGTGTCCCAAATAAGTTGAAGTAAATGAAAGGGTTGCTAAGTTAGGGTAGAAAGAGAGAAACTAAATTAATAATTCGGTTTTGGGCGACAAAATAAGTTTCGCAAAAGCCAAAGAATTTTTACAGAATTTTATTTCTGAAGTTTTCGGCAAGTTATATTTAGAGCAGGAAAAACTGTACAAATTGGGGATTTTGGGATTGGGAATATTTTTTAGTGCATGAACTAAGCTTAAATCTCTTATGAAATTATTTTTAGCAAATTACTTAGAATTAGGGCAGTAGCGAGTGAGTAGCGTTTTGCCAAAAAGTGGCGCAATAGATCCATTCAAGTTTTCTGTTGACTGATTGAAGATCAATGAGCAATAACAGTTTGAGTCATAAACTGGACAAAATTGCAATTATTGAAGCGGCCCAGATTTGGCGAGAATGAATCAAATTTACACAGTTAAAGAAAGAGAATCAGTGTACCTACCAAGACCTTTGGAGGAGATGTTAAGTACATCACGATGTCCGGTAGAAACGGCGCTCATTTCATAGTTTGTCTGTTGCACATCCTGGGATCTAAAACCCGAGTTGACCCCTGCGAGTAAACAGACGAAGGGCGCGACTAAGTTATCGGAAATGGAGAATTTGGGGATGAAAATAAAAGAAAAATAATTCGGCGCCGTTATAGAAAAATGCGGCTACGACGCATACAAAAACTGCATCTTAAAAATCATTAAATGCGCCAAAGGAACCCCTGCCCACCCTCCAAATTAACGTTAGCCGGGAGGAGTTCAAAGCCAAGCAGGGAAAATCTTGGGCAGAACCATTGAAATGCAAAACAAATAATAAGTTGAGAGGAAAATCCGGCAGTCAACAGGTTATTATTCCGCTGGTTTCTGCGAACTTTTCTCGGTGGAAAGGACGGCGCGCTATCGATCGGGGAAAACGAAGAAAAACTGGCGTGTACTCACCGACAATATGAACCATATTTTTTGTCCATCGTTGGAGTTCTCTTCTAATATTCCTGCGTTGTTGAACACATCTCGCGTAAGAACACTCCGCCATTTTTTTTGAGCGGCAAGTTTGCTACACTGACTACAAGATTTAATTTCCTATTACCCATTGCTTCGCAATAATCATTACACTGAACTTTTATGTGATATTTAATGCCTTTCGCACTTGCAGGTTCCAACGACACAATGCTAAGTTTCTGTTTCAGTCACTGTTGTTTTTTGCGATATTGTTTTTACGCACGGCACACTCGACGGAACATTAATGCGAAAAAAAAATCCGAGCGCGCTTTTCGAGAAAATCGTCTGGGGGGTCGAAGGGGCCTCGTTCAGCTCCAGAGTGATAGCAGCTTTAGTTTTTTCGCCATAATTCCGATAAATCTGCAACAGAAACAACAGTTAATTTTAATCAGCCGAACAAGAGGCGAGTAAACAAAAATCCGCTTACTTTGCTCGGGTTTGCGTTACATGGTTTGTTTTAATGTTGGCGCGGTCCCCGTACGTTTCAAATTTTGCAGTAATGTGTTGCTGTATGAATGGTGGTCTGTATCACTACTGTAGTAACGTCACAACGTGACGCAACAAGTGCGACGCCACTCGGCACTTGCATGCACTTGCATTTTCCCTTCCCCTGCCTACTAGAGCGCCGTGCATCCCTATTATCTCTGTTCTTCGTCTCTCCTTCGCCGTCTGCCTAGTGCCGTCTATCTTCCAGATTACTACTTCTCTTTTTAAAGGTGTCGGGGTCTCTCTCTTCAAGGCTTGTTTTTATTCTTTTCTAACGTATTAATTTCCTGCCCGGAATATTCGCGCCGTCTCCCTCTGGCCCGCTTTTTCTCCTTCTCTGATGACCCGCGTTGTCTTTTTCTTTCTTACATTTCGGCGACTATTTTGTTCCTTTTATAGTCGGCGAAATATTTCGTCTTTGTCCGTCCGCTTCCTCTCGTTCCGCCGCGCGCTCCCAATTTTACAAGTTTAAACTTGAATTGCTCTCTTTTTAAATGTCCAGTCTCTCTCTGATCTTATGTGGCCTTTCGTTGCATACGAGGGCAACAGGAAACGAATGCTCGAACGCAGCGCAAATCCACTGTGCAGATGAAGCTGCGGCCAATGCTTTATTTGGCTCATTTTTATCGTGGCTTTTGCATAATTGTGATTATTCTATTTGTTTTGTCTAGCATCGTTTATTATGTGTTTGGTTCATAGATGTTTTTGCTTGATTTTTAGATAATTATTTTCAATTGACTGCTTTCGATTTAACGGTCATTTATCCTTCGCAAGGCTAATCGCATTTGTGTTAACAACATTAATTTTTCTTCGGTTTGAAGGCATCTAATACATCGTTTTAATACATACTTTATGTACAGTCTGTCCCGAGCCTTTTGACTCAATAATTGTCGTTTTTTCTATTTGATTTGAAATCTGATGTTTTTTTGCAAACTTCTTTTTGGGTATTTCGCCTCAAAAATTTTTGTCTTTAAAAAAGAC